GGGTGTGGTGCAGGCTGGTGGGAGGAAAGAGGGACGGAGACCCCGTGGGGTGCGTGAAGGGCTTCAGCAGAGACGCAGGCAGAGGCGATGGAAACCTGGGTAAAACGAGGATGCGAGGAGGGGAGGCGGACTGGGAGAAGATGGAGGTCCTCTACCAGAGGCAGCTCAGCGAGGAGGCGCAAGAGGATTCACGAGATACAAGAGCCACAGTGTGGAAGGGGAGGAGGCGGATGAGGGTGTACGGGGTGGTGCTGCACATATGCAACGTGAAGTGGGGGATACATGATATAGAGAGTCAGCCGTGGTCAGCTTCATGTATAGGTGGCCTGAGCTTGATCTTGTCTCCAGGGCCTTGAGCCTACTCCAGTTCTGCCCCCGTCTTGCGCACAAAGTAGCATAGCTCTGCCTCATCCACTGACTCGCGTGCCCTCGCGATCTCGATCTCGTCTCCTGTACCTCGAGCCTTGTCAAGCTAAGCCTCTCTCTTGTGCGACGACAAGCTTAGCCATGCCTGGTTGACTAACTTGGATGCCCTCGCGATCTCGATCTCGTCTCCTGAGTTCTCAGCCTCCTTCAGCTCTGCGACCCTGACGCTAAAGAGGGCGTCTGCGATCTTGATCTCGTCTCCTGTGTCCTCAGCCTTCTTCAGCTCAGCCTCTCTCGTGCGCAACCATGCCTGGTCGACTAACTTGGATGCCCTCGCGATCTCGATCTCGTCTCCTGTGACCTCAGCCTCCTTCAGCTCTGCGACCCTGACGCTAAAGAGGGCGTCTGCGATCTTGATCTCGTCTCCTGTGTCCTCAGCCTTCTTCAGCTCAGCCTCTCTCGTGCGCACAAAGTAGCTTAGCCATGCCTGGTCGACTAACTTGCGTGCCCTCGCGATCTCGATCTCGTCTCCTGTGACCTCAGCCTCCCTCAGCTCTGCCTTCCTGACTGTCAGGAGGGCGTCTGCGACCTCGATCTCGTCTCCTGTGACTTGAATCATATCGAGGTATGTCTTCCTGTACTTGAGATATGCCCCTGCAATCTTAATCTTGTCTCCTTTGATCTTCGCCTCGTCAAGCTCTGCTTGTGTCAGTCTGAAACGCGCCTTTGCGATCTCGATCTCGTCTCCTGTGTCCTCAATCTCCTTCAGCTCTGCCGTCCTCCTGAGCAACGACAAGCTTATGCTTGCCTGCCTGGCTAGCTCGACTGCCCTTTCGAACTTTATCTGGCCTCCTCTCAGCCAAACCTCCTCCAGCTCTGCCATCCTGAGGGCAAGAAGGGCCTCTGCGATCTCGATCTCGTCTCCTGTGACCTCAGCCACCTCCAGCTCTGCCTCCCTGACCCTGATTCGTGCCTTGAGGATCTCGATCTCGTCTCCTGTGACCTCAGCCTCCTCCAGCTCAGCCTCCCTGACCCTGATTCGTGCCTTGAGGATCTCGATCTCGTCTCCTGTGACCTCAGCCTATGTGAGCTACAGTAGGAAGACGCGAGGCC